ATCCGACTCGGAATGTGTGAGTATATAACGTCAATTCTTATATCGTTCCGTCAGGTACAAGGTGTGTATACATCCGACTCGGAATGTGTGAGTATATAACGTCAATTCTTATATCGTTCCGTCAGGTACAAGGTGTGTATACATCCGACTCAGAATGTGTGAGTATATAACGTCAATTCTTATATCGTTCCATCAGGTACAAGGTGTGTATACATCCGACTCAGAATGTGTGAGTAAATAACGTCAATTCTTATATCGTTCCGTCAGGTACAAGTTGTGTATACATCCGACTCAGAATGTGTGAGTATATAACGTCAATTCTTATATCGTTCCGTCAGGTACAAGGTGTGTATACATCCGACTCAGTACCTGACGGAACGATATAAGAATTGACGTTATATACTCACACATTCAAGGTGTGTATACATCCGACTCGGAATGTGTGAGTATATAACGTCAATTCTTAGTATTGTTCCGTCAGGTACAAGGTGTGTATACATCCGACTCAGAATGTGTGAGTATATAACGTCAATTCTTATATTGTTCCGTCAGGTACAAGGTGTGTATACATCCGACTCAGAATGTGTGAGTATATAACGTCAATTCTTATATCGTTCCGTCAGGTACAAGTTCCAGTGGAAGTGCTCGCATGTCGGTTTTAAAAGTTGTTACTTTTCTTTATGTTCTGTAATGATTAATTAGTGTATTATAAACTTAAGAACTGCTCTTACCCAACGTTCTTTCTGTCTAGAACTAGGGTGTTGTAAATCCATATGTATAAAATAAGCTGTTCTTTTGATGTATGTTTAATCTGGATTTACTAAGTGTTTTCTTGTATGTAAATTAAAGTGTGTTACACTCAGTTTCTACTGACGGAGTATTAGTTTGATATGTGATTCAGTATAAACAACTTTGTTTGATATGTGATTCAGTATAAACAACTTTGGTTACTTGAATGTAATATAACTTCAGTGTTAAATCCCCCATCCTTATCAGCATCCATTATAACAACAGTGTTAAATCCCCCATCCTTATCAGCATCCATTATAACAACAGTGTTAAATCCCCCATCCTTATCAGCATCCATTATAACAACAGTGTTAAATCCCCCATCCTTATCAGCATCCATTATAACAACAGTGTTAAATCCCTCCCATCCTTCTTATCAGCATCCATTATAACAACAGTGTTAAATCCCCCTCATATGAAATAAAAACATACCATAACAATCATGTTTACATTCCTCTTTAAAACAGGGTAGTGCTAAGGACTTCTTGAAGTTTAGACTAAAGTGAATGTCTAAACACATATTAAAAAACTTAAAATACCATTAAAATTTCTGTCAGTTTCTTGTTTTTGATAAACATCCAGATATTAGTAATTTAAAGTAAAATACTAAACATTGAAGTAAAACAGTTTGATTTTTGTGAAACTGTCAAGCAAGTTGGTCTCCTTCCATCCATGTATTACGTCTCCATTGCTGTGTGCTAATTTAATTTTTGAACGTTCTAAACATAAAAAAAAAAAACATTATACAAGCACACGTGTCAGTGTGGAAAATGTGCTGACTATAAAGACTGAATTGAGACCAACTTTTAGTCGGTCTCTTCCTTTATTTGTGTTTTAAGCAAAATTAAAATTTGGGTATTTTTCACACTTTTAATAAAAGTAATTATCCCTGTTCCCCATCAACAATTAAAAAAAAAATGTTTAAAAAATTAAAAAAAGTCCACGGCAAGATAAACTGAAACTCGGACTGAAAGAGTGACTGTTTAATTTTAATGTGAATTCATTATTTATGATACATCTTATTTAGGATTTAGAAGGATCTTAGTCGTGTTATCGAAATTGTTTTTTTTTATTTTACAGCATGATGAAAAGTTCACGTCTTCACTTTTTGTTGAACATATTCAAGCAGCAATCCATAATTGTAAAGTAAGTTATTTTACGTAAAATTTGTTTGGAAATAAGGTCATTGTGGCTTGTATTGTTGTATTTAAGAAATTATTAAGCATATAATTTTTCTTGTACAGTTTGGTATTGTTTTAGGATTCTTCGAGCTGTGTTAGATGTTATTAGGTTAAGCTGTTATTAATGTTTACAATAGTTTTAAATTGGATTTTGTACATCAAATGTAGAGGGAGAGAAATGGTAATAATTGAGATTTAAAAATCACATTTTATGTTTCAAAAATTGCAACTTTTATCGTAGATTCAGGTATTGTGTGTTAACTTTTACCGGAGTTTGTACGAGGTCGATTCTCTCGTCACTAGGTTAATCAGAACGGCACAGCGTGTCAGCTGTTGGGTAACCTCTGTGTGCTTCTTCACTACTACATGGATAACTACAATAGCGTGTCAGATAAGGACGCCTGCTCGGTGTATCTTGACGCGACGACTGACGACAATGGACGAAAGATTCAGTGGTTTGTATGGAATACGAGTAACGATGAGATACAACTGAGTTAACTGTTAGGAAATATAGAAACTACTACTGTAGTTTTGTTTAACCCTCAACTTGTAGGGTGAGTTCAGAATGACCCACGTTGATATTTCAACTCAGTTAGTGCTGCTCTCTATCTGATATTTTCAGTACTGTGTCGTCAATCAGTTCTTGAGTGTTGAGCAGTGTGGACGTGCAGAGAGTTCTATTTCTTAGTGTTGTAATACTTTATTTGTCCTTTGTGGGTCATTTTTGACCCACCCTATTATAAAGACTAATTTTTGAAGTTTATTACATATGAGTCATTTTGACCCCACCCTATTATAAAGACAATATTTTTTGAAGTTTATTACATATGGGTCATTTTGACCCCACCCTATTATAAAGACAATATTTTTTGAAGTTTATTACATATGGGTCATTTTGACCCCACCCTATTATAAAGACAATATTTTTTGAAGTTTATTACATATGGGTCATTTTGACCCCACCCTATTATAAAGACAATATTTTTTGAAGTTTATT